AGAGGCCGCCGACTGCGGCTCCGGAGGAGGCTCTGAAGAGGCCGCCGACTGCGGCTCTGGAACCGAGGAGCCCACCAATTGCGGCTCCCGATCAGGAACAGGGGAGCTCGCCGATTGCGGCTCCCGATCAGGAACAGGGGAGCCCGTCGACAGTAGCTCCAACACAGGAACATGCGGGACCACTGACTGTGGTTCTGTCTCAGGAGCAGGCGACGCCACCGACTGTGGTTCAGCCTCAGGAACTGGGGAGGCCACCCATGGAGGCTCAAGTTCAATCTCTGAGGTGGCCGGAGGCGTCGGTGGAGGGTTCTTTGTGATTAGTGGCCTCCGTTGAGGGACTCTAGGAGCCACATTTTCACCAACACAAAAATCTGAAGCCCTTCTAACTATTAGCTCAGGGGTCTCAAGAGGGCACAGGGCTAACTCAGGGGTCTCTCGACAGCATGGGGCTAACTCAGGGGTCTCTGGACAGCAAGGGGCTAACTCAGGGGTCTCTGGACAGCACGGGGCTGGCTTAAGGCGACGCCTTCTCTTACGCCGTGGAGTCTTTGGAGCCAAGTTAACAGGGTTACTGGCTGATTCTGGCAAGAGGCAAACTGTTTGAAAAATAAGGGTTCCAGAATGGATTACTGATTCAGAGGCTAGGTAATCAGGCATGGAAACAGGTTTAGAAACTAAGGTGACGGATTCGGGTGTCTGAACAGGCTGACGGGGATCTCTAGTTGTTTGACGTGTAACTGGTGGACCAATCTTGAGTTCTTTAACAGACGGAGCTAACTGACGATCGAGTAAATTAGAGCTGAGACTGACCTGGTGACGAAGGAAACTGAAATCCTGAGACTGAGGGTAGACGGCTCTGGGACTAGTTGGCAGTTTGATGTCTAATCTGATGGCTAGCTCTATGAGGTCTTCAAGGTTAGTTGGTTTATTGTAAAATGATAGCTTATTTCTGAGTGGTTCGTTTAAGGCTAAGAGATAAGTGGTTTGGAGCGCAGACTCGTTCCACCCGGAAACGGCTGCTCTACTCTGGAACTCGGAGGAGAACTCAGCGACGGACCTATTACCCTGTTTGGTGTTCAGAAGCTTGGAGGAAACGGAGAAACAAGAGGACTGAGTAAAGGTTTTTTCTAATTCTCGGATGAATCTTTCATGTGTGCAGTTTGTTCTGGTTTTAAGCGGAAATTTGGTCTCCGCCCATTCAAGGGCTTCACCAGACAAAAAAGAAATAATAAAGGCTAACCTATCCTTATCGGAACGAAAATTAGAAGCGTGAAAACTAAAAAATAACCGACACTGAAATAGAAATCCCTTGAGCTTACTTGGGTCGCCAGAAAATCTCTCAGGTAGAGGAGGACCGGGTGACGAAAACGATGGAATGAGTTCAGACCAGAAAGGAGGGTTATCATCTTGACTCGGAGGTGACGGACGGAATTCCGGAAGTGACGAATCCGGAACCGGAAGTTGAGCTGGCGCCATCTTGCGATTCCCACGAAGCTTGTGGGATCTTGAAACGAGTGTTATCTTTGAGTCAAACGGGGATTTTAACTCACGGAGGGACTGAGTGTGATCAGGAGTAGGAGAGTTCTGTTTCTCAGAGCAATGACGGAGGTGATCTGCTGGGCTTTGTGTTTGGCCGCAGTGTTCTGTCATGATGGGTTTTCTCTAAGTCAAGCCCAAGATGCAGAACACACATGGGAGAACTGAGAAAAAGTCCAAAGAGTTTATTTAGAACACAAGCACATGAATACTGGAACTGATACAGGCAAGGGGGGGGCTGGTTCACTGGGGTCTGAGCTGGAAAGGGAGATGGTAGGTAACAGAGTTCAT